AATGGAATTCAGTTCTTTTCTGGAATGAGACACCTCAAAAATCCAATCGGACCCACCGGTCCATGGTCAGCCACGTGAGGCTTACCTGCAGTTCATCGCAAAATTGGGAAACTCTTCATATTTCCAGAACAGAGCCGCTTATGGTGGTTTCGGGAGAAAGTTATGAGAAAAAGCGGAGGGGCCACGAAGAGACACCATCATTCTATTTCTCCCCTCCCATGCTCAGTCTTAAGAAAGCGTAGACGATCAGAGACCAAAGCGACCTCTTCTCGAGCGCAGAGGTACCGATTGGCAGCAGTGCTCGTTTTGTTCAGGAAAATTATCTGAGTGACTCACCATTTTGCGAGTTTTCAATGTTGGATGGTGTTGTGAGTGCGTGACTCGTTGGATATACCGTACTCCAGGAGCCATAGCCGTAACCACCAGTGCCGGAGTTCTTCGACTGCATGGGAAGAGTGGTTGTACCACCGATAACATGACCACCTTGTACTAGGTAAGGAGTAATCTGAAACGAAAGATATAATATTTTGAAGTTCTACTCTGTCAACTTGGACGAACAACTTCCTCAAATAACAGTCGCAATCATTCGGCGTGGTGTCAGGAGGGTCAGAATGAGCCTGCCTCCGACTGCCTTGCTCTACCAGTAGTGATCGGTTGGTGTTCAGTTTAGGAAGAAAACAACCACTGGTGGCCGAGGGTCGGCTCACTCTTTTTTGAAACCGCCCCGACTGTTTGCGACTATATCAGCTGTGATCTGTACATTTCACAGTTCTGAGAGTTCCGTCGAAAAGCGCTTATCTCAGCAAAGGTGCACGCCGATGCAGAGCGGCTTAAGGGCAGACTCCACCAATGGTCGGACGGATTGAGTGATGGGCTAAGATTGATAGAACTTGCACTTTTGTCATTGGTACGCCACACCTTCGATTACGGTAAAGAGGAGGAGCGTACCAATGAGGATGGCACAGTGGTCATGAGTAGCGACTATTTCTCCCCCGCCCCTCAATCGGATTATGGTGCTTTAACGACAGACTGTACGCCTCCGAGGACGGTCCTTGCCAAGCACGAGGCGTATGGGTCCGCAGCTGCGGTAGTGTGCCATTTCTCCGATCGACGAGAACGAGTCGACGAGAACGGAGCTATAGGGTGATGACACATCCCTACAAGGCCGTTATCCTCACAGTGCAGCACTTGTGCCAATACCAAAGTTCCGCAGCGAAACACGCACAGAGCGGTTGAGAACATGCTGAAGTGAGAGGCTGCAGACAAGTGGCGCGTTTGGCTGTGGTCGGAATGTGGCTAGCCGTGCAGCAGAGCGGGCGTGTATGGAGATGACACCTGGATTTCGCAGATCTCGTATCCCCTTCCTGTGCACTTTTGACAGCAGGAAGTGGCAGGCTACTGCAGCTGCGGAAAGTGCGAAGAGTGAGTGAAAAGTGAGAGCAGACAGGAGCAGAAGCTGACGCGATTAGAATTACTACTTTGATGCGCCATATCAAAGTCCGAATTTGTGAATGATCCAAAAGGGCTTCTTCAAGTTACAAGGACGGCGCTTGAGAGCAACCTGACACTGCACAACGGCCCACGCGAGCCACGTCAGTAAGAATATAATGCGATTGTGGTGGCGCGACCGCATCGCACGTGCCTGGGCACGGCACCAGTGGTGACTTGATTGCTGGGAGGTGAGTGCGTGTTTGGGCCTTTGGAAATTTTCTGAGACCGCAGAAATTTTTGGTGGTGTTTACTACTTCTCTGGTTTTTTCCGTTGCAAGCGTTCGGACTTCCCCCCCCGCCGCATGGTTGCCTGAGCCGCGAACTACACACAACCAGTTTTTCTGATTGTGAAAGTTGCAGGGATTTGGTGATCAGTCTTCCCTCCTCTGCATCACTCAGTCTTTCTATCAAAATCTAGCGAGTTTTTTTCTTCTGAACAAACTACGGAAAGTGTACAGGGAGCTTGAGCAAAATCATGAAAAACTAGGGGAAAGATAAATAGGAGCTGAGAAAACCTGAGAAGGTGTAGGCAGGATAAAAAGGGAGTAGACAGCAGACGACAGCGCCATTTCACAAATTAGCGATGCTTGTCCTGGCCCCTCATGGGTCGCCTCATTAATATTAGGGTGTCCACAAAGTTCGTTGGCCATTTGTAAACAGCGTCGCGTTACGCAACGCGTTGTGATTTTGCATAATGGTTTCGCAATACTGAAAGTACTCGCGATGGGCTATCTTCTGAGCTAGCTAGCTCTAAATTTCCTTTCCTGATCTTTCCACAATAAAGCAGTGAAGATGAGTGATAGTTGCTGGACTACTACAATCTGGACATCTCCAGACGTCAGGCCACGACCAGGATGCGTCAGCAGTTTGGTGATAACACCTTCTAAGAACTAGAATGTCAAATGGGGGACTCGCTTCACCAATGGAAAACTATGGCATCGAAGATATGCCGAGGTTTCTGGTTCTCTCGTCACGGCGTCGTCCACTATAGCACCCTACCCAACAATGCCACAGTGACGGCAGAGACCCTCTCTAAAGAATTACAGGAGGTCAGGAAGCGAGTGGAAGCTGGCGCTGCTTGTCCAGAAAACTTTGGAACTGCGCGTGTTTGCTCTGGACAACGGCGCGGCCCTGCCCCACAAAGCGAGAAGATATCTCAGCGCCATACTGGACAGGCTGGCGCATCAAGATGTCAACTGCATTCACTGGCATATAGGGCGCCGACATCGGCTAATGCGATTACCACATCTTCCGGTCCATGCGAAACTTCCTGGACGGAAAACAGCTGAAGAACGAGCGCGACCTCGAGGACGTGATCGAGGACTTGGGCGAGTCGCGGCTGGCCGGCTTCTGAGAGGATGGAGTTGCCTCTCTACCCGATCGTTGGCGAAAGGTGGTGGGTATGCATGGAGATTATATCATGGACGGTAAGATGCAAGCTTGGTGAGTTGATTATGAGCGTCTGCAAAAAACGTAATGGCAAACGAACTTTTGTGGACATGACTGAATATCATTCTACACATTAGCTAAACAAATTTCCCCAGCGTTAGCAAAAGAACCCTCACTCGTTTCTGAACTTCCCCATCATCACCAGCCGATCTGGGGATCTTGAAAATCTCACCTGGAAATCGGGCGTACCAACATGACCTTCCGATCGTCGTATGAAGCACCGGGGAACTGCTACACGCGACTACAGACCTACATCCACCAGCGGTGAGAACAAACAAAACATTAAAGATCATGCCACAAAAACTATTTTGTCTTCATTACCGAGCGCGTGAGAGCAATCACTGGTAAAATAAATGATTATATTTTCGAAAGTAATCGCGTAGGTCCATCCAAGTTATAATGAGCATTGAATATGGAACTATGAGAAAAGAAAAGCATGTGAAAAATCACCTGCGCTCCACAAAACGCATCGACACATCGTTCCTCTGCGGCATCTGAAAAGTCTTGAGTTAAAAAAAGAATCCAATTCTTTAGGAGGAAGACTAAATTTCAGGCGGGCCAATTAACGCACGTTCGCAGCAAACAAGGTTGGCAGAGATTCAAAGGTACAGTGGGATACAAGCACTGGAAACAGGTTATGAAATAGAGGGCAGACAAGGGAAAAGGTAACGAGTGTCACAGAAAGTACAGTGTCTATATTGGATGTTGGTGATGCCATATTTGTCATGTATTGGCAGACTAGGAAGACAATATGCGCGAAATACGCTTATGCAACCTGCAGCTTTCCGGGAGAAGATAAAGATTGTCCGCGCTCATTGTGCTTCCGTGAGCGCAGGGACGTTCTGAACGCTTGAGGAAAGTTTTGGAAATCGATCCTCCCCCCCCCCCCAGGTTTCCGACTACCTAATATGCCCCTCTCTTTCCAAGTCCTACCCGCAATTTTCCTTCTCCTGCAAACAATTTCCGTAACTTTCCCAGGATTTTCTCATTTCCCCACGTGGCAAGATTTTCATGTCGAGGTGAGGGCGGGAAGGGCGTGGGGTATATAGCACACGTGAAACGGGAGAAACCACGAAAAGTCAACAACAACAGCCAATTTCTTTCAAAGGCGAATACGACCTTCCTTCCCGCACCAAATATGACCCCCCCCCCACTGGGGACTCTCCCCAACGTGCGACGTGGTCTGATGAGGCGCCTTTCTTCAATGTGCGCTGGCCTGAAGTTTGAGGGACTTCATGGCACAGTTCGGCTTGGGGGGGGGGGGAGCTTTTGCACTTGGGTTAGTTCCCATCGTCGTTCTCATTGTTGTCTGGAGAATACATGTACAAGAAATTACAGGTATTCTTCAGAAGAGTAACAAGTTGCTACAAACTTCGATTGTATCACTTTATGGCTTCACAAAATTCTGCAAATCTCTGCTGATGGCTTGACACGGCAATGGGAAGCAGCGAAAGTGCAAAATGTCCCCGTCCAAGGTAAATACGGTTCCGGAGCGGACTACAATGTGACACTTTTTTTGCCTATTTCTGGCTATATACCGTCTCGCCTTCATTTCCGATTCCTACCTTCGACGGTGAAGTGCTATAATCTACCGTAGAAGCCTATTACTATGAGGTTGGGATGGGACCCATCGACGGACTAAGATAAGATGTCGACGGACCAAGGGCGCAAACTCCAAAGCCAGCTTCAATTCAAGGTTTAAAGCTCACGCTGCTGCATTGTTTGCAGGGCACACTGTACGCCGGGGAATTTCCAGCGAGGTGACTGTATTTGGTCGCTGGAGGAAGGGGGAGGGGCGCAGAGTTCACTGTCGTGTTGTGTAGAATTCTCGCTAGATACGACCACCTTTGCGAATTTCCTTTCTCGGCACGGCCCTCTTTCACTGCGTACCTACCCTTTTCCCAAAATTGTCAGACAAGGGGTTGGGGTGGAACCCCATCGTCTAGGGGTATGTAGGGCAACAAGAAAAAGCAATAATTAAACATGTTTCTCTCGGAAGCATATACTACCCCTCTCTTTCAGCACCCCTATACGACCCCTGGACACGATGTGTATGTATACATATGATGTATCAAGGGCATTGTTCGTACAGTTGATATAGTCGCAATCAGTGAGGTGGTGTAAGCAGGCATGGAATGAGCCCACCTGCTGCTTCTCTACCTCTGGTTGTTTTCTTACCAAATCAATCACTAAATGACCACCATTAGTAGAAAAGGCAGCTGGGAGCCGGGTTGGTCTACCTGTTCTGACACCCCGACTGACTGCGACGATAGCAACCATATATAGAACTGTTCGCCGTTTTCACGAATGTACTGCTGTAGCTAACACCGTCTGCTTACAAAGACCCTCCCTCGACCTGAACAAAAAGCCGCAAATACCAGGAGAAGCGCCAGGAAAGGAACTGGTCGTGGTTAATGTGGCATGTCAGAAGACTTGCATCGCTCATGAAGAACATATTTCCCTACCAGGGCACATAATCGTTGGAGACTCGCCAACAGGTGGGTCATACGTGGCCGCTAGAGGGTCGTGTTCAGTCTGAGAAAATGTTTTCTGATAGCTGATTTTTTTCGTGGACTTTTAAGGAAAAGGGCCGTATTTGCCTTCTGAAAAAAATTTGTGGTTTGAAGAAAAATTGCCCGTTGTCGTTTTTCCTGTTTCACGTGTGCTATATATCTCCCCCGCTCTATAGCTAGATCGTCTCAGAGGAGGGAATCAGGGGGAGGTCGTATCAAGGTCCCGATTAGAAGGGGGGGGGGCTCGTACGGAGTAGACCGAAATGCCAAGCTATCGATGTGCATTGTTCCCCACACTTCGTACTAATTGTAAGACTTCTACTCACTGCCTTAAACTAGAATGGGTTCTATACCATTCCCTAGAAAAAAGTCAGAACCGTATTTCTATTCGAGGGAGGTCAGATGAAAAACATCACCAATAAGGAGCCCTTAGGTTTACTCACGCCGGCATAGAAGTCGTTTATAGAAGTGCTACAGGTGAGGAAGAAAAAAAATTGGAATCTCTACTAAACCCGGTGGTCTGTCGGCCAGTTTATGCGGAAACCGAAATTCGAAACAGAAAGGGTACAACATATGTATGAAAATCGCAACTCACAAATCTGTCGCCCATATTATTACAAAAAAGTCAAAGGCATTGATAATGAGAGCAAAGGAATGGAATATTAAAAAAATACTTACAAAATGTTTTGTGTTGACGGACGCAGGTGAGCCACTAAGAACATTGTCTACAACCATTTGCAGAACTCCAGGGCCATACGATTCTGATCGCGGAGAGGCGGCTTGACTTGCGTTGTTTCCGCCGACCATAATAGGTTTACTGACGGAATGGTCTGAAATTTGAGCTATCAATTTCTGCGGTAGTGTAGCTTGCTCCACAGCAGGGTCGTATTTGGGCGCTAGATGGAGGGGAGGGTCGTATTTGGCCGGAGAATTTTTTTGATAACTTACTTCTCCTGTTCAGCGCGAGCTATTCGCATGTTCGGAAAAATCGCTCCATGGTGGGAGGGAGTTGGGAGGGGTCCTATCCGGCCTTGAGAAAAACTTTTCCGTTGCCGACTTTTCTCGGTTTGTCCCTTTGACATTTTCATATTACTCTCTTAGATGGCGCTGCAGTTTTCAAATCCTCTAGCTTGATAGCTTTGAATTGAGAAGTAGTGTCTTGATTTGCGACTTCACCCTCCCCCCCCCCTCAAAGGCAGTTTTTTCGGGGGAAAGTGGAAAGGTTTTTGGAAAAGTGGTAAGAAGTTGGGAAAAGTCAGTGAGATGGAGGCTAGGTTGGGAAAGGTGGTGGAAGGGGAGTCGTAGAAGATGAGATTTGTTGAGGGGGGGTCTACTCGATATTCGCACATTCAACGAGCTGTACACCTGGAGCTAATAAACGCCTTGTTTCGCGAGCCTTTACCACTCAGGCCAGCCAGGAGAACAAATAGTTAGAGTGGGTTGTCATCTCGCAGAAGATGAACACCCAGCAACAACTTGACGCAACGATACAGTAGACAGCTAAATAAGCGCTTGGGCAAATGCACTGTTCTCCAATTCTCCAGCGACAACGATTTCTCTGGAATTGACGGTGGTTCGAAATAAGGGGTACGTCAGCAATTTCATTGATGACGAAAAAAATAGCCCTAGCCCTTTCGGAGTTTTTGTGGAAGTGATGACTACTTGAAGCATGGAGGAATTCGAATAGAATAACTAGCGCTGCGAAGAAGACTCCATAGACACCGCTGGGTTTCTTCGCGAAGGAGGCTTTCATATTTATGTCACTGCAATTTACAGATTCTTACGACTTACCTGTTTGGAACCCCCTCTATTTGAAACAACCACATACCATGTTCTTGCTCGAGTTTGGACGCTTCGCGGGCGAATATGGTCCCTAGTCCCTCTTGAATCTCTACCGTCCCTATCAGGTCTTGTTCAGCAACCTCCTCAAGCTGAAATTTATTCAGTATACTAGTATTTGCGCTTAAAACTAGCGGTATGCTACTAGATCTATATTCAGCTTAGAATTAAGATGCGCCGTGGATGTTCAAAAGCATATGGCACCATGACTTCGTACTCGGTCTCAAATGGTAGTAGGGGTGGTATAGAGTGGAGAAATGGCGAAAAAGCGAAGTGAAACGGTCAAAAATTCTGCAAAAAAAGCCTTTGTTCTACACGACTCAGAAAGCGATTTCGGACGAGTTTCCCGTTGGCATCGTGCCAATAACGCTACGGTAGATACGGCTGCATGTATGTACTCATATATCCATGCAGCACCGCAGCCGCTTCATATCAATCCCTTCGCTTCATTGTACTTCGCAAATGAAGCTATACGAGCATCAGCATTGGTCGGACATTTGTGGGCCGGTGGGCGCAGTGGAAGTCCCAGTCGGTATACAGCAGCTAGCAGCTTGATAAAGCGCTATAAGGGTACCTTCATTGGAAAGGGCGCCACGCAGCGCCTGCTCAAGGGCGCCGAACTCTGTCCTGCTAGGCGTATTATCCCACACGCCTAGGGGATTTATCGTGCCACTTGCCTTTGAATACAACAACCTTTCCGGCTCTCTCCCTCACCCCCTTGCATGTCTGTTATGCCCTGCTTCGGAAAGCACTGAGGCATAGGTCTACGCCGTGCCAAACGTACAGGGCACGTCATGGAAATATCCCACGGGGTCGCATTTGGAGGGACTGAAGGGGAGGGATTCGTATTTTACCAGAGGATTTCATTTCTGATTGTTGATTTTTCATGCTCACTACATGTGTACTCCTCTTGTCGGCAGCGCCGCACAACCTTAACGTCTGATATTACCCCCCTCCCTTCCACCCCCTGTCCCTAACTCCCGCTCCAAGGAGCAGCAGAATCCTCAGAAAAGTTGGAAAGATGGGAGGTAGGATGGGAGGCCGTATGTTGCAAAAATTCTCTCTAGCGCCAGATCGTGAACTGCAAAAGCACCCACAGTTCAGCATTTCTATAGTAGCACTGAAAGTTGTAGTCCTGAAACAAGTTACTGAAATGCATACCTGAGCGTGTATGTACAGCACCATTCCAGACGTTCGTTGTAAACGCAGTGGACCACTGCTGATCAGCCATAGTGCACGTTGGTGTGAATAATAGTGCAGCAGGTTAGATTTAGTAGTGAATATAGTTTAGTAATATATGTAGTAAATATAATAATACAAACAGTGTGTAGCTGTTGTTGTAGTGGTAGTAGTAGTAAAAGCGTAGTTGAGATGTTTTCTTATGAAGTAAAAATAACGACAAAATTCACAGTGCTAGCCACAGGACAAATATGAGGGGGACAAAAATTTACAGAGTAGCTCTCATTCACAGAAAGCGTCACGACGACGGCTACTTGATCCCTACTGCAAAGTAGTAGGGACCGTCTGTACAACTGTACAACCTGAAATATATGGACTATATAGTACGAAGTGTGTGTAGGAGAAGCTGTGTCGCGGAACAATTATTCAATAGCAACATAGAAATCAATCGATATCGAATAAATTTGGGCTTCTTCGACGTTTGATACAGCGGCCCACGACTACGGCAGTGTAAGCGGCAGCCAAAAGAAAACGGCTTCTGAAAACATTACGATGATGACTGTTCAGCTGGAGCTGACAGCACTAGAGAACGGGAGTACGAAATGCTTCTGGTGACATGTTCGACATCAGCTAAGTACTTTTTCTGTAGTGTTTAATGTGTGGAGTGGCAATGGCAAAAACCGTCGCTTATAAGCGTGAAATTTAAGAGGCAAAATCCGTCAAATCTAATCACCTCTACAAACAATTCTGAGTGTGTAACAACAATGTGAAACTCCAAAAGTTTATTCCAAAAACTCAAAAGACAGTGAAAGTCTCAAAAGTTTATTATAATATATCTTAACTTGCAATATTTAATATTATATTGAATATCAAATATTGCAAGTTAAGATATATTATAATAAACTTTCGAGAATTTCACTGTCTTTTGAGTTTTTTGGAATAAACTTTTGGAGTTTCACATTGTTGTTACACACTCAGATAAGAAATGAGACTCCGGGACAGCACCATACTCCGATGAAACAATTCTGAATGAAACAGAGTACGTGGCGCATCTCAAAGGACTGGACACCCCCGGAAACCTTATCCCTCCATCTTTCAGATACAACGCATTAGGGATCAGGAGTCAGGAGAATCAGTACAACTTGGGATCGCGAAAAACTGCTGATTTTTGAAGCCTAATTTAGTTCAGTTTAAAGGCATATGGCATGGTAATTTGGTGCTCGGTCTAAAATGGTAGCAAGGGCGCTTTGTGATGGAAAACGGCGGTTTCAGCAGATGAAACGGTCAAAAACCTGCAAAGGAAGCCTTCGTTCAACACGACTCAGAAAGCAATTCCGGACGAGTTTCTCGTTGGCACCGTGCCAATAACCGCTACGGGAGATAGGGCTGCATACATAAACTCATATATCCTAGCAGCCGCTTCCTATCGATCCTTTACTTGCGAGTCAATCTGAGATCACCAGCGATGCGGTCGAACAGGGGGGGGGGGGCGGGAGGGCGGTCGGGTAGCAGGCTGCCAAGCTTGATAGGGAGTTAATAGGTAAGTTGCAACTTGATAGGGCGCTACAAGTGTACCTCCCCTGGAAAAGGGGCCACGCAGCGCCGAGCGCCGAATACTGTCGTGCTAGGCGTAGTAATCTTACAGTTCTTGAGGATTTATTGTGCCTGCTCGCCTGATGTGTCCATACGAAAGAACAGCAACTCGATTTCATACAGTGTAGTAATGCTCAGAGCTGAGGCGCCACGGTACAGCCATGGCACATTCGTACGTTGGTTATGCCTAGCGAGGAAATCGTTCTTGATCGGTCGGTTGGGGAAGGGGGGGGGTCGTACTTGTGCAACTGTTGTTTCCACGTTTGTGTGCTATGCATCCCCCCGCTCGACGACAGCTTTTGGCTGGGTGGAAGAATTTCTGAAGTAAAAAAAAAACTCGAAAGGAAGAAGAGTAGTTTAGGAAAGTCAATGTGGTGGCAGCTAGGTTAGGAAGAGGAGTGGAACCAGAGCGGGCGATTTCGTGACAGGGGTCGTAATTTGCAAAAACTTTCACCAACGACAGATCGTACCTTGAGTATCAGCTTCGTGATGTGTGAAATGGTGGTGTCAGTGCTACCCTTTTCTCCTTCCTATCCACCGGATTTCTATGAGTTTTCCCAACTTTCTACTCTTTTTTCCCCAGCTTCCCTAAGAAATCTCAGGTTTTCCCGCAAAAACCGATGTCGGGCGGTGGGGAAGAGGAGGGGGAATCGTTACCAATCGGTGACCTCAACTAGCAGAATAGTAGTTGAACGATAGTTCCGCGTCGCCAGCAACCAGAACGAGAGGAAGGGGGTGTTATAGCAAGCATGAAGCGGGAAAACAAACGCATACAATTCACGCGGTCCCACGAGGCGCTTTTTTGGAGATTGGATCAGAAAACCTGGTTTAGAGAGCAATTATGAAGTAAGTCAATCATTCACTATGGAAAAAAACTAGGCTGGCCAACTCTCGTTGCACTAGGTGCCAGAAATTTTTCTGTATTCAATGTTTTCATAAAAACACACGTCGTGCCCAATATAGGATTCAGGAGTCTTTCATAT